TCAAAGGGAAATTCAGAATTATTTGAATTTTTGGAGATATTTACGAATCTTTGAAACTGATTTAACTGATTTTTGCGAAATTAGCAATCTTGTCTTCATGAGACGAAGAAATCATGAGCAAAACAAATCCATCGATTTGATCCTTGATTCTTCGTCTCTTTTTTCAGTTTCAATATTCAAATATTTCAAATGGTCCCACATCGTCATTAGTCGAGTGATTCTAGTAAAGATCATAATCCGCGAGGCAATAGCGAAATCGGCAAAACGATCTGGCATTCAACAGGCCTCGAACCAGTGACCCAAATCCATGGCACTTCGAGACGTACGTTTTTCTAGAATCGGATTATCGATTATATTCCGCCAATGTTCATGTAATTCTTTCACGCTTATTTTAGTGCTGTAAAAAAAAGACATCACGTACTTCTATACTGACAAAATATCGTGGAATATCGAATAGAATATATAATAGACGCAGTTTGATATATATTAATATCGTAGTAAGATATATGTTAATATCGACACTCAAATGTTTCCAAAGCAATAAGATAAAATGGGATGTATGAAAATATATAGATAATACAACAATAAATGTTAAATCATTAACTACCAAATTTACTAAACAGAATTATAGCAAAGCTGCTATAAGATAGTGTATCATGTTTATATGCATATAATAATGAACTTTGCATAGTTATAAAACGTTCTTCTCAATTTAATATAAAATGTTTTATGTGTTTAGAGAATGCCACACATGTATTACAAAATATAATCTTATTGATTTTAGTCACGAAGATTATACAATTAAATATTTTTAATTTTTGTAAATTGTATTTATATGTAATTATATTATATAATATTTATATATATATATATCTGTCCAAGTTGTATGTTGCTATACATATAGCTTACATGATTGAGACAGCCGATAATTTAAAACTTCGATAAATCTTCTAATGAAAAAGTTTACTTTTGAGATATGAACGGATTACGATAAGCTATGTATTGCTACGTATTAAAGTTTAAATGCGAGATTAGCAATGAATTTACACAATATAAAAAATACATAAAATATGATATATTTAAAATATAATATAAATATATTTAGAATAAATTCATTAATTATATAATGCGTAATATATTGGAATTCCCCCATTTTCACATATTTTTTTATATTTAACAAATAAAGCTTCTTTCAGTACTTATAAATTATAGCTTATATTTCTATACAGGATTTTTAAAAAATATTAATTTTTTAATAAGGTAGATACTTTTATTTATAAATTTTATATTGTCTAAAAGCATCGCGAATGAGAATCTTACACGCCGTGACTGTGAAATCGCTGAAACGAAGTTAACCCAAATCCATACATATCGTAACGGTGTTTTCGAGGAATCGAATTATCGGACGACCCATTTTCGCTCACTGTCGCGCCACTCCTTTTTGACCGTTTGCCGACGTGGAAATGATAACATATGCCTGCCGGGCATCAAAGAGGAAAAATGGTGTTTGCCGAATGTCGATAAGACTCGCCCTTCGTTTCACGAACCGAACGAAAAAAACATCGTCTCTCGACGCGTTCTACGTCATGATATTTACGCGTTGGCGCAAACTTTTGCGAATATTTAAAAAGTTATCTGTTCATCCCCTAACTTTCTCATCTGGACTGAGTTTTCGGACGTCGATACACCTCGGACGTGTGAGCGCCCGCGCATTCTCGCAAAAGTTAGACGTGGTGCAAATTTGCGTTTCAGAAAGTTTCTTTCACACCACACAAGTCTCGGAGAGAGACCTCTTGGCACGCAACTGCCTCAAAATTTTTCGAACAAAATTTTATTCAACGATTTTATTCAACTAAATAAAAATTCATACAAATATAATACAATCTAATTTTATAGATGAATACTTAAATGTTCAAAATAATTGGCTGTATAGAATATTAAGATTAAAATTATTTTCAACATTAAAACATTAAAAAATTTATATACAGATATCAGTAAATATGATTTATATACATATATCAGTATATAGAATTCACAAATATATCTCTCATAATTGACAAAAGATATATTTAAATCACTGCTCGAGAGAGGAGAGAATTCTCTAATCTTTCTTTGATAAAAATTGAAGATGCTACCTTTATTTTCACCGCACTTTTTAAATGAAACTGAAGTAGTTTCTCATAACATTTAATTTTCAATACAATTAGATGACAGACGTATAGAATTCTTTAGAGATATCTCTGCTTCACTGAATAAATTGATAATTGTGTTGAATTACGATTAAAAGAAGGCAAAATGATCCTCGATTGCTTATAGGCTAATTCACTTTGACTGTCGTTAACAGGAAAGACGAGGAAAGGTATGAAAGACATAGATTACTCTACTTCCTTTGAACAAACGTTGCGAAAGAACGAAGATCTGTATGTTTGACTTCACCAGAACGCAGCCGTTTGATTATACTATGCCCGTCTAATATTACCTTCTCTATTCCAGCAGACTCTCAGGCATTGTACGCAAATTTAATGCCGCGTAATAGCACATGCGCGCAGCAGAATTTACTTCGCTAATCCCCTTCAAAATTTCATCGGTGGTGTTATATGTAAGCCGCACGGTGCGATCGTTAAAACGCATAATGGGTAACGCATAAGTCGGATATGCTCAATCACTTGTTATGCACGAACTACCGATGCAGTTGGGCTGAAGATATAATGTAATGCTGATTCTCGCGTTCCTACACGCTATAGCATTACGAGAGAGTTACTCGGAAAATAATTGTACTTACTGGATTAAAAATTAAAATGCGTTGAATTATGAAAAGTTATACTACGCGAATCTACGGCACGTAAATTACATGATGAATATTCTTTTGGAAATTAATTATAAAATGATAAAAAATACATAGATTCTTCAAAAGATGAATCTGCAATGAAGTGCTATTTCATTTTCATCTTGTTCTTTATATTATGAATGACTTAACGAGTGGTCTCTCATCAGGTTCCACTTTAATGTCAATTTTTCTCGGTAAAAAAATATATCAAAGATTATTCATCAAGTTTTAATATTAAGTACTTCTTTTAAGTAATTCTCGAGAATAAAATATTTATCAAGGAATAAATTTATATTTTAAGAATGAGTTTTTTAAGAATGAATGATCAAAATATCTAATAAAAAAGATTGAAAATTAATATTAATCACATGTGATCTTTCTCGACATTTTCTCATAAAAGACAATAATAATAACTTTACATGTTATTTTGAAGATTTAGAAAGTGACTTCAAATATTTTAATTGAAATATTAAGCAGCAAATGATAGCAAGATTGAAATGAAGTGTGTGTGTGTGTGTGTGTGTGTGTGTGTGTGTGTGTGTGTGTGTGTGTGTGTGTGTAGGAGCGTACGCTAATTCTAGAAAATTTTAATGGAAATAATATCTTTATGATAATTTCACGTTGTTGCGTAAGACTTTTCCCTTCTATTGTCCCATACGCTAAACAGTAAATAGCTCTCATTGTGTGGTGAGAATTCTGTATGTGGAAACCCTCTGGGGGATTTACCGCGCCGTTAATTTTACGGGGTACGGCTGGTGAGAACACATGGAACAACCTTCTCGAACGTGGAGCATCCACAGGTTGTCGTCTGACCTAATCTGACCTAACCCAAGTGATTAAGGACATTGAATCAATGGAGAGAAGATGAGGAAATTTCAAGGGCGATATATCTTCTATTAAATTGTTATTCTTTTATTAAATCATTAGCTTTCTAAACAAAGAAGCTTGTTAAATTCCGTCAAAGCAAAATGCTCAGTGAAATGTAAAAACCTGATATTTCTCCCAGTAATCTGAAATATTGGCTTCAGCAAATAAATAAAAAATTTTTCGGTCATCGAACAGATTGTCAGTTCAATACTGTCGTATGAGTTTGAAACGTACCAACGAAATAAGCTTTTCACAAAACTAGAATGTCCTTTAATATTTTTTGTAATACCAAATATTCTCATATAAAAATATTTTAATTGTAAATAATTAAATTTTTCTTAATGTTGACACAAAAATATGAGAGAACAAATAGTTTTACGAGATAATTGTGTTGCAAAATTAACTAATAATATCTAATTGATGCGCAGTTCTATGTATCACTGATTTTCTGAGCACAGGCAATGACATTAGATTGACATTTGAAAAATTTATTTATTTCGTATTTATTTACTCTATACTATGTACACAGATGTCGGACGCTATTTATTTTTTCGAAATATTAAAATTATTGGGTTTACACAACACGTTAAATTCGTCTCTTATGATCCCCTTTAGAATCTTGTTTTACTCGTCTGTGATCATAAAAATTGGAAATAATTGTAGTAAAGAGTTTTATCAATTATAGAAATTGTTGTCCAGCTTTCTCAATAATATATTAGCGTCTCAATAATATATTAGCATCAACAATATATTAACGTCTCAATAATGGCGGAATCAATTATATTTCAAAGATAATAGTTTTTTCATTTTTTTCGGTTTTGACAAAACATCCAGCTTTCGATCCTCGTATCCAAAGCTCTGAAAAGCTTAACAACAAAACGAATAACAACATTCTAAAACAAATTTTGATCTTAATAGATTGTTGTACGCTTCGTTGCTCCTAACCATTGGAGGTAGGCTCGCAAAGGTGGAATCAATACGTGAACCTACAACCATCTCTACTTACACAATGCTAACCGGCCAAGCCCGAGAGCAATGTGTATATATCTCGTGCCTTTCATTTTCTCCGTCGCGATACTGTTGCTCAATGATTGTGATCCTCTCCTTGTGTGTTTTCCTCTTTAAATCCCTCTTTTCACCCCCTTTCCATTACTAAATCCTCCGCATGTGTCTCCACTCTTATTTACGCCGATTTTCTTTGCCTAGTATTTTCTCTCTTTTTGTTCTCGTACTTTCATGATAATGCAAAATCCTGCCGGATGAATGCCAGCTCCTCTTTTGACGGCGCGCTTTCATTCTGTTCCAGGAAATTCAGCGCCGTCACTCCATTTTCGAGCCCAGTCAGCACACGTTGGCCGACACAGTTCGGTAAACAAATGCTCTCGATGTGATTTATAGCTTATGCACTTTCCTTTCCCTGAAATACTTACAAGTAGTTTAGTTCCTTCAAATGTGATTGTTCTTCCTTTCCATTTTGTTCTTTTTTTATTATAGAAATTGTCGCCGCTATTAGATGTATATTTATAATTAAATCGGTAAATTAAGTTAAATTAATAAACAAATTATATCTTTTATGTCTATATTTTATTCTTGATGATAAATGCGTATTACAGCCCGTGTTACAGAAAGTCTCTTACAAATTTCAAGACTTATTATCTTTTTAACAACGTTTGCAAACAATTTATAGATATCTCGCATTCAACTCAAACACAATTTGCAGAGTATTAGCATTCAGCTCAAATCTGCAAACCTATATATTTCTCTTTCTTTTTTTTTTGCGTACGTGTAACGATAGCGAATTTGTTTGATTCGCAGGAATGGGGAGTGTCGGCAGCAACGTGACAGGGACGACGACGACAGATCCAACGACGTTCCTGCCAGACGCAACTCCGACACTAAGCGAACGTGAACAGGTCAAAATCGAATTTTACAAAACGTACGATGTCATGACGGGGGTACGGATCGCCGCGACCCTTGGTGGCTTTTTCAGCTTAATGGTGTTGCTGGTAGTTTACAAGAGCAGGTAATTTTAAGAATGTTTAAATGAGTATTTGCATCGTCATTAAAATCCAATTAAAATATGGTTGATATATTTATCAGATGCAAAGCGAGTAAACAACTGGAAGATCCAACTTTGACTGCAGCGGCAGCAGCGGCGGTCGCGGAAGCTGAAGCTGAGGAACGCGCCCTCGCCGCTGCTCTCGAAGCGATCGCCAGGTTACCACCTAGGCTGGGTCGTGGTCCGAGAAGATCATTATGCGTCGAGGTATATTATAACAGTTTAAATACTTTTATTAAAATAATTAACAAATATACTTATACAACTCTAAAATGAAATACATTCTTCTAAAAGTAAAATGTATCATTAGAGTTAAAATATTAACAAAATCGTAAATATTCTACTTTTGTTGAAAAATTAAATGCATTTTTAATTCATTTGAAATTTATGTTTTTTTTTTTTAATCTCTAAAATTACAAAGTAGTAAAGATATTCCTTAGTTGAATTATAACAATTTTTATTTAATAACAAATATATCGTAACTGAAAAATCGTCGAGAAGATTTATGTATTGAAACATCACTATTGATTGGATCGTACAGTTTTCAAGTAGTAAAGTTTTACGCTTTTTCGACAGAACATAAAAATTTTGGACTGATGCCATGCCATTTCAGAAAGTGCTCTCTAGTTTACAGAGTGATGTTCAGAGAGTGCTCTCTAGTTCACAGAGTGGGTTTTAATTTATAATTTGTCCGTTCGCCAAGCAATGTAATTGATAGAAATATTTATGTCAGATGGATCAGTCTCATTCACCCGTGGTGGCACCTCGTTTCGCCTCAGTCGGTGGATATGACTCCCTGCTGGCACCGCCAATCAGGCAACCGAGGTTGGCTCCCCCGGTCGATCACAGAAGATGTAGCTCGGTCACCTGTAGCAGCACTGGAAGCAGTTATCTGGAACGAAGGGGTTCAGCCATGGTAATGCCGTGCCTTCCACCTCCTCCATCCTACCCGCGTCACGCCGCCTACGATGAGCCATGGGATTTATATTACCCTATCGATATCCAGGTATACTTGATGTATTTGCAATTTTATGTCTTTCGAAACTTATTCTTTTTTAATAATCTTTTCAATAGTCGATATTGAAAATTTAATGGTCTGAGTCTATTTTTATTTAGAAATTGCTCTGAGTCTATTTTAGAATCTTTATTCTATAATATTTTAAATAAAATTGTCAAAATCTTAAATATTAATATTTCTTCTTTTTACGTTAGGCCTGTGTTATACCTCTCTCATTTGCTTGTTCGCGCACTCTAATTATTCAATAATTGTCACAAGCATATGACTTATAGTTTTAATGCTGATTCCAAACGGCAGATTTTTCGAGAGATATTTCTGTGGGCAAGAATATTCTCGGAAGATTGCCGGCTTTTTTCAAAAGGAGACATGAGCAAATATTTTGGTTCCTTTACCAGGTTCCGGACCTTTGGGTCCTGATGACCAGTGCGCTATCTATCATGTCATATTCGCTAGATAATGTGTATCTTCGAACAAGCGACACAAGTACAACACAGTGATCATGTCATCCTTGTTTAACATTACATCCTTGTTTGACAAACAACAAGGATGTAATGACATTGTCATCTGTGTTACTTGTTGGAAGGCATACAATAATACAATTACTCATATTATTACAATTCTATTATAACACTAATACTTTATTATTCCATTTTAGAATATAATTTAGCTCACCTGCTACAAATGATAAATAAAAATGAATTATGGTTCCTACACACTGGACACGGAAATGTTTGCCGTGCGACAGAATGCAACACAGTAACCAAATGAGCTGTAAGCTTATTAGCTATTGCGTCACATTTTTCCGCGCGACAAGCGTTTTCGCATCCAATGTGCAGAAGTCATTAAACTACATTTAGTGCTAAAAAATAAAATATCACCAAATATTATTCATTTGAAAATTACTATAATATAATCAGGTCATACAGCCAACTCCGGATTTATCGCCATGCGGAAGCGAAGTCGGTCTTTATGCCGGTGCAGTCGGCAGCCTTATGGCGGCGTCATCGGGCAAAAGAGCACCGTTGGCATCGATGGGTAGCGTAGATCCTCCCGATCCAGATACCAGATCGCTCGGCTCCGATTCCGTCTTTCTGAAGAACGAGGACGAAGAGCAGTGCGTCGATACTGAGGACGAGGTCTCGGGTTTTTCTACGGACTCGGATGCGCCTGGGCCAAGCTGTCGGCGGTTCCTACGGGTGCCTTCTAGGAAAAAACGGATCCCCGAAAAATGGGACGGATGCGCGGGCTGCGTGCCCAGACGACGGGCCGGTAGTAAACCCTGCCAAGAATGTTTGACCATCAGTGCCGCCGTCGAAACCTCCAGGTAAATCCTTATTACGAATTCATACGAAAAAGAAAATGTTGCTGTCATAATGAGAAACTGTATAGCTACGAGTTTAAAACGAAAAACCTTTCTTATCATAATTAACAATACGAGTATAATAAACATGAACATGTATGTATGTACACGAACATGTATAAATATTTATAATCACAAAAATATCAAACAATTCAATCTACTTAAAATTTTCTTAATGATACAATTGGATGTATAGAACAAAATAATTATACAAAAATTTTCTCCCAAAAAACATCAAAGAACTTGATTATTGTATTACTTGTTATAAATGTTTACGCATTTAAGTACTGTATCTGCGCTTCTCTTTTTTTCCTATGATTGTATATTATTAAAATATTCTTTTCTTCTTTAATTAATAAACTGATAAACTGATAATAGGTCGCAACCAGCCTCAACGACAACCAGTAGCAGTCAGAGTAGCGTGGGATCTCCACCGTGTTCACCGCCGATCGAGCTAAGGCACAGACCACCACCAACGCCATTACCATCAATCCCGCCAATATGGTCCCAAGAAACACTCTTTTAGAATGCATCTTTCGTAGTGAGCATGTCCTTCGACCTGTTTTTATCGAGATACGAATGTCGATATCTGAGGAAATCATTTGCTCAAAAGTTGAACATTATCTAATCTTTAACCGTCTTGTACTTTTAGAAAACAATCTCTTTTTTTTCTTGAAGCTTCGTCGTCATTAAAACCAGATAATTATAATATACATGAATTTGGAGATTCATGTATATTCATAGATTCAATTGTTATCGATCAGTGAATTCAACTAGAATTCACGAATGCAACAATTGTCGTATGAAATTGTTATAAAACTATTTTTAAAAATCTAAATTTTGATGTAACGAAATTAAAAGAAAACAAAATAAAATTATGTATATTGGATACCATACTTAGTCTTTATAAATGGCAAGAATGAAGAAAAAAGCTACGTAAAGAACAAACGTTAATATTAATGAAGGGAAAAGACGAGAGAAGAACCATATACGAACGTAGAAAAAGAACGGAGGAAAACATTTTCCGAACGCGCGAGGAAAATATCGGAGATTTTCGATATTACAGCGGTGACTTCTGTCCCGGAACCAGAGCAAACCCATCTTAAGGTAGTCCAAATCGAAAGCATTTTACGCGGATTGTATGGTACACTCCATAGCAAGCACGAAACCCGAGTCAAATTAAACTCGCCCGTTTAAAAGGACGAAACGCAAGACGAGGCCGACGGCGACTACAATTAGTCTAATTATATTTGAGATTTCATCTACCGACATATTTCAGTCATCTGCCTACCTCGTTATACTTGAGAATATATTTGAGTTACCAAACAATGCATACGCGCGCAGTCGGATCTGAAAATTCACATAACTATATTGTGGATATACCCACCAGCATCCCGACGTGCCAAAGAAAATGCGCGCAATTTATCTGGCATCGTAAGCCTCCATAATCTCTTATGTAGTCGAAGAAGATTGGGCGACTTCATTATTTTCCGTCACTCAACCATATTCTTGAATCTCTTCATACAAGCATCCTCCGTAATACGACCAGGCGCACATCGACATCCGTGATCCATTTAACAACGAAAGCAAAGCAAATGCACTTCCTCGCTTAAGACATTCATCGCGTCCTAATTGGCATTCGTGATGCCGTTCAAGATCGTGAGATCTTGAGCAGCCAAACTTGGGATAAGGACGCATGCAATGGTGATCTAATATCGCACAAAGGACTATCCGAGAAATGAGCGAAGAAACTCGTTCCAATCGATCAGGGTGAACCGCGTAACTCGCAACTCAGGAGACTGTCGAAGGAAGGCCGATTGACAATGTCACGGAGGAAATAGGGAATTATTTTTATATACAAACGCGACGATAATCAAGTTCATTGAACAGATACTTCTCGTGAAAACAATAATACGCTCGCAATATGCTCGATTGTATGATGTTGGTGTAACATGTGATTTTCAGCGAGACGAGCGGATGGAAGAGTGAAATAGAAAGAAAGAAAAAGAGAGAAAGAAAGAGAGAAAGAGAGAGAGAGAGAGAGAGAGAGAGAGAGAAATCTGAGTGAGAGAGAGAGAGAGAGAGAGAGAGAGAGAGAGAGAGAGAGAGACACGAGGGAAACAGCACTTTTATTCGGATAATCGTCGAACCGGTTTTTCCTGTCACGATTTTTCCATCAGGGCCGATTCGCCGTCGATCTGACGGTTTCCCTAACGCGAGGAAATAAAACGTATTTCTATTTGTGTAATCTTGTAAGCTCTGTAAAGTTTTGGGTGTACGTGTACGTGTCTATAACCCTTTTGTGCGTGTGATAAATAAATACCGTGCTCGATGGAGGGGAACCGGAAAACAGAGCGATTGCCGTAAACGGTCTCAGCGAATCAAAGTTGCCCAAGTTCCCTGATTGCCGTATTTTTGCGAAGTGATCTGTTTTATTGATCTTTTCGGCAAAGTTGTTTGATAAATTTGTCCCTGGACAACTGGAATATCGATCGACTGAATATTCCATGGAAACAAAAATTCTTACAATCAGGCCTGTATCTGATTTAAAGAAAAAATAAAGTACTAAGAAAGCAATAAGAGCAAGATTAAGTGAAATTGCTTTAGTTCTTTATCTCCATTAATTCAGTGATATTAGCTGACGAGAAGCTCGCTGGGTGTAGAAAGTCAAATGTATTAAAATATTAGAGCGCGTCGATGTAAAGAACAAAAAGATAAAAAAAGATATATAGTAGACGAGATATTTATCGTTGATAAGAGCAACTTGTGTCTATTTTCGATAAAAAGGTAAAACGTAGTTGAACCAGGCGAGCCATATATGCCTCTACGTCTACATCTGGAGACTTTTCCGCCGAGGCTAACATCACTGCCGGTCAGCCCCTCCAGGCACACGTTGATAAACGAATAAAAAACAGAAAACACAGTAAACACATTTACATAAAAGAAAAATGAGCGCGAGGACTACCTACCGTTGTTCTAGCCAAGAGTTTGTATAGTAGACAAATAAGACGAGCCGAAAAGTTATTATTATTGGGAATAAAAAAAAAGAAAAAGAGAAGAAATATTATGTAATAGGCCACGCACGCAGTGCTACGACCGTTACTTTTAGATAAGTGTACATACATACACGTCGCGTTACGTTGAGCGTATACGATAGCGACTCGTTTTCGCCGATCGACGAAGAACAGAGAGAAGGCGAGACTCTGACGTCGCGTTGTCTACGTGAAGAAGAGACTTTATAATACATTGGCTGCGTTCCAAACTTCGCCCCGGAGAGGTACGAATTTAACAAGCCGCAAAACAAGACACAATACGGAGAGAATGTATACTCGGATGACTACTAGATCCATGTAATTCCCTCTAGTAATTTATATGCGGTTATCCATTACACTCGCGGCCATTAGGCAAAAAAATGTCAACTTTTGCGGACCTAAGATATTACAAGAAAGTTTCTCGGATATAAAAAGAAAAAGAGAAAGAGAGAGATAGCGAGAAATGTCCAAACTTCAAGGAATACACGTAAAAGTTTCGTGATAAATAAGGGGAAGTCCCTAATTGGATATCGTATGCCTTATTGAATTATTGTTATATATACGTATATAAAAGCCGACATTTCGCTTGAAAATTATGATGACGTTATGAGAAAGTAGTCGTCACAAGAGGCGAAGTTCTAGAACGCGGCTGTAGGAGAATAAAATATAATTATTACTACCGCGAGGTGCGTTTTGCTATATGCCAACACGCTGAATGAATTGTTCCAATCCATTTCTTCTATTGACGCACGTACCTATCATTTTTCTTTTTAACAAATAATATATTAAAAACAAATATAGAAAAAAAATCTATTTGAAATTTCTTCGAAAGTCCCGCATTTAATACGAATAATTATGCGTTATATATTTTTGTCGTAGCTCTCAATTCGCGCAATATCGCATAAGTGAAGTATATATTTCTCGAGCATTTTAAAAATTAACGAAATACTTAATAAAATTCTCAGCGGTGTATGGTGTACAGCATATCGCCCCGTAGTCGCGTTGTAAGGAGCTTGAAAATTTGTGAGTGCTGCCGAATTGCCAAATGTAACAATCAAACAGTGTCTAGTTGAAATCTAAAATTCAGAAAGAGCCGAAGATAATGTGTGCGGAGATATATATATATATATACACGCGAATAGATGCGTGAGTGTGCGATTGTACGTGCGTGTGCCAAGTAGTTTAGCACAATTTTAGGCGGGCGGAATGTATATACATA